CCAATTTTTGTCCTGGGTGGGAATCGAACCCACCTCCGGCTTTGCAGTCAAAATCACTAACCACTAGACCAAAAGGCCCGAGTTACAATGCTATAACTTCGTAAAAATGCTACTGGACTTATGACCGCGACCTTGCATTGGTATTGCATTCTTTATATTATCTTAGTTACGATTTTGTATTTAAATTCAGAACTGCTTGTTGATGCATGTTTATAGACGAAACGTGACAAATGACATCGTTTGGTGAAGATTTTTACAAAGTTGTTTAAAACACCACGTTTTATGTTTCTTCATAGTTTGTAAATATTATTTTACAGTATTGTATACTAAAAGGCTACATTAATCTATTCATTTTAAGTGCTATATTCATTGCTTTATTTTCGAGGAATAAATGTTTTTATCGTTGTGCTTAATTTGGATTAGAATAGTCATCTTTTGGCAAAGTTCATACAAAGATAGGTAAACATACACCCACGTCTTTATCGCCGAAGGGGTAGAAATCACATCAACAGCCTTTAATAGTCCACTGCTGAACACAGGCCTCCTCTTAGAAATCAGGTTTTGGGTTACTATACCACGCTGTCTAGAGGAGTTGTAATAGTGTCTGTTTCAAGTTTTCCTTCTTTATGCAGTGTCTTGCGTAGTTTACTCCTTTACGACACCAGCGGTATGAATAGGGGTGGTGACATTTCGTATTATCGTCAACATATGAAAGTCTATACAACTTTCTAAAATAAATCATGAATCCAATCGACACAAATGAAATAAAGAGCGAATAATTTGCTTAACAATATATCTTATGACATAATTATTTTTGTATTTGCATTTTGCATGAATAACTCTTTATATTGAAGTCATTAGACTTTGCCCATATGTTTGAAAAGCCTGTATAGAGCAAACATTCTTCGCTTCGATATGACAATTCATTGTTGTCTTCGAAATAAAACAGTAATTTACAATTACAAAAGAGGTTCTACCAAAATAATTAATACCTAAAAGGCCGGCAACGCGTTTGTGACGCCTGAGTTGCAGACGTTCATGGGTGGCGATAGGCACTTTACATTAGGTGACCCGTCTGCTCGTCTGCCCCCTCTAACAAATAGTCCGTACAAAGCGTTAATCACCACATTCAGACTCAAACTTGCATGAAGTACGAACTCTAACTAGCTTCTTTCAAATCTGTGGAATTCTAAACCTATTTTAGAACGTATATGGAAGACACAAAAATTCATCGGAACTGAAAACTTGAAATGTATTAAATGCTGTTTCATGTGTTTTATCTGAATAACTTTTAAGTTATATCTGTTTAGAAGATTATGTTTGTTTTTAGAATTCTTTAAATATTTTCAGGAAACAATTATCCAGAAATAAATACAGATTGCGAAGGATATCTAAATTGATAGGCGAAATTGAACAATTCGTAAAATGCAGTGAAAAAGTGGGTAATATAACAGTGTTTTTAATTAACAGAGTTTTAACTGGAGCATGCAGACTCAGAGCGTGATCCTATCTTCCTTCTTCTGGGGCTACATCATCCTTCAGATTCCAGCTGGGGAGTTGGCTGGTAAATTTGGAGGAAGTATTCTGGTCACTGCTGTCATTGTTGGAAATTCGGCGGTGTCTTTACTCGTACCCTTGGCTGCGTATTATGTAAGTATTTTATTTCTGTGATAAATTATAGCGCTATTTACATAATTTTGTAGATGGGCTGAAAGCAGATAGCTGTTTAATAAGCTTTACGTTCCGTTCATTTAGCTAAAGTTTCAACCATGTTGCAAACTATGTGTCTGCAAAGCTTGCTGGCTCTGTAAATTGCGTACGATGAAATTCAATTAGTGCCTGTGTCGAGTGTCTGTTCTGCAAATGCTGATTTTACTACTATTTATTTTAACATAAACCATTGCACTGTCTATGGATTTCATCAGTCCATTATCTTTTTACTGTCCTTACTTAGATTAATGCTATTACGATATTAAATAAAAGCTATCGTAATGATAAATTCTATTGAGAACTGTATTAAAAAAACTATTAGATTTATCATTCATTAATTTCAATATTATTATTTTATTTAATGTTAAATTTATATACAATTTATTTTATATTTATATTTAAATACCTAATATAAGAAGTCACATTAGTTTTGACATGAAAAAAAAATAACACGTCCTTTTTCAGAGAAATTATTGGTTGGAACATTTTTTTTTGAACTTTAAATATTTAAAAGTAACGAAATTATGCTCTCCTTTTCAGGGAGGCTGGCAAGCTCTTTGTGCCTGCCGCGTATTACAAGGTCTTACCCAAGGTTTCTTATACCCATACTATGCACTCCCTAATAGGGAAAATGGGTACCACTAGAGGAAAAAAGCAGTTTAGGAACCCTTGTCTATGGCGGTAAGTTATGAATATCGGCAATTAAGATTCTTTGAAGGCACTTTGTTTACGTAACGTTACGTAAAGGTACGCATAGCATTACTAATATTAGGGATTAATTAATGAAATTGCCGATTTGTACTGAAAAATTAAAACTCATTTTTTTCTAAGATGTAACATATTTATTAAATATTTACCCTCATTATCTGTACATTGCTGTCATCTAAACGGAAGTTCATTTGTGCCTTTACGATAGAACTCTGGGGATCTAGATCTAGATTCGACAAACTGAGTGAAAGCATTTTGTACTGCCTCCTGGGAAGATTTTTTTTATCACGGAAAAAATTGACCAAATCACGAAAAAAATGGTAGTCCGTTGGAGCAAGGTCTGGGGAGTACCGAGGATGACGTATGGTTTCTGACTGCAGCTCCTCTAGTGTTAAAACGGGCTCTCATGCAGTGTAAGATCTTGCGTTATCATGGAGCAATAATGGTAAAGATCGATTTACGAGACGAGGCTATTTCATTGCCAGTTTCGCCATTATTGTTTTTGCTTGACCAGAACTGAGAAAGCTATAGTAAATAATAGAATGAAGAGACCACCAATGAGTTACCATTACCTTTTTATTGGTAAGCTTTGCTTTAGGGCACTGTTGCTACGTTTGGCCTGGGATCAGCTCTTGCATTTTCGCGTACGGTTATTGTAAACAATCCACTTTTCGTCACATGTCACAATTCGATCCAATATTCCTTCATTTCTGTACTGATTCAACAAGGCAACGTGAGTTTCAACACGCACTTCTTTCTGCAGATCAGTCAAATCATATAGGCATTTTTCATATTTTTTTATCATATTATAAATCATATTGATTTGATGCAAATGAGTCAATATTGTAGGTAGGGTAACGTTAAACCATGTCGCTAATTCCTGGGTAGTTTAACTTGGATCGGCTTCCACCATCTCCTTCAATTCAGCGATATTTTACTGTGTGGTCTTCCACGTGGTTAATTTTTCAAGTCGAAGTTACCATTACGAAAGCGTTTAAAACAAACACTCACGGTGCGTTCATTAGCAGTCTCCTTTCCAAGCGCAGCGTTGATATTGCGAGACGTTTCTGCCGCGTTGGTTCCACTTCGGAACTCGCATCCAAAAATGACACGGATTTTCGAAGTATCTATCTTTTACGTCTAAGCGGAATAAAAAACAGTCGCAAGTCGGCAGTTGCACATTTTTTTTAAATAAGAACTTCATAGGTATCACGTGAAAAAAGTTTCACACGAAAATCTCATAACATGAAGGTTTTATGTCAATTCAAAATATCTATTACAATACAACGGACATTATTATACTATTACCCCTATTATTATACTAAAATTGAGAGCACTAAAACAATTTCCAGGTGTTTTGCGCTTACAACTCTATCTCTCTGTAACTCTTTTATGGACGGCGGTAGTCGTTTTCTCTCAGGTGACTCGTCTGCTCGTTTGTCCCCTCTTCCATAAACAAAACATGCACACAGACTGTTTGATCATGAAGATTTCAGTTTTAACCTGACCCTATTATCTGAAAACACATACATACAAATCTTTTTGTAACACAGTCGGCTAGGGTTACTAATCTCAGATTAGTAATATATCATTTGTTTTTTTAATAATTTAAAGTATGACAAAGAAACTTATAGTTTGCCTGACTCCGTGTATGTTGACCTATTAATGTTTTTAAGAAAAGAGCGTACTTCTTCCTAAAAGGCCGGCAACGCGTTTGTGACTCCTGAGTTGCAGACGTTCATGGGCGACGATAGTCACTTTCCATCAGGTGACCTGCATGCTCGTCTGCCACCTCTAAAAAAAAAAAAATTTTTCATAATTTGACAGTTTCGAATAATTACTAAACAATTTTGTAAAACAAATATATTTAATTTCAAATTACAAAAAGATACTATTTTTTAGGGGCTCAGCTCGGTACTGCTCTGCAGTTACTGGTGTCGGGCTATATAGCTGACTATTGGGGTTGGCCAGCTATCTTCTACGTAAATGGAGCTTTAGGCGCAATCTGGACAGCAGTCTACGTCACATTCGGGGCTGACTCCCCCCAGTCTTCTAGAATGATTAGTGCTGAGGAGAAATTGTATATCCAGACCTCCTTGAAACAAGTTGGTGTGCAAAAGGTAAGTTTTTCTGTTATTATTAAGTAGTCTAAAACATCATGATCAACATCTGGGCTACCTGCTTCACTCCAACCCTCATAGGAATTGGAGTCGCGACAATTTATTTATCTATCTGTATTTACTGGATTACAAATTACCAAATTGTAATTAAAATTAAACATGTCCTTTAAGTAATAAAAAAATCATGTTCCTGAAGTTTAATCTACAGACATAGTATTTTAACCTTTTGCAGATCATTCATGACTTATTAATAAAAATAAAATAATAAAAATCACGGTGAGCAAATCAAACTTACATTTGACTGGTTTGATCTCTGTACATCATGGGTAACAAATATATTTAGATTATTAAAGTTATAATTTTGAAATTAATTTACGAAAAAATTATAATTGTTAATTTTTTTTCAGAAACCACAAACGCCTTGGAGAGCAATCTGTACGTCACTACCGTTCATAGCGCTTATCATCACACACTGTGGACAAAACTGGGGATTCTGGACACTGATGACTGAAATGCCTTCGTACATGAAACAAATTCTTGGGGTTGATATAAAGTCTGTAAGTTAAATGTAGTCTGTTAGATGATTTGCTGGATTAATTTTTGTTTCGTTAACCTTGAGCACATTTCGTGTATTCATTCGTTTTTTTTTATATAAACAGAATGGTGCGATGTCAGCTCTACCGTATTTGTCGATGTATCTGCTGAGTTTTCCCTTCGGATTTATTTCCGATTATGTACTTAAGAAGAAAACTGTTAAGCATTAGTGCTTGCAGAAAAGTATCTAATTCAATAGGTAAGAACTAATTAAATAGGAAAGAAGGTATCTAATATACCAGACAACCCTGGCTTTATTAGGTACTAAACAACATATGCCTGTATTTTTTTATTGTTGTGTTGTTGATCTTAGCAGATAGCAACATAGTGTTGCTGTATTGTAATAACTTTTTTAAGAGGAATGGGGATTTGCCGTATATCGTCATGTTCTTGTAATAAAACTGGTTTAGGTAGCGCAAGTCATTGAAGCCGTTGAACCTAGTTGGCAAGATTTTTAGTCATCATCATCATCATCAATAACCATAACAGCCTTTAATATTCCACTGCTAGACATAGGCCTGTCCTTAGAAAGGAGGTTTTGGCCTACTATACCACGCTGGCCAGACGGGTTGGTGTAGAGTTTGTGTCAAGTTTTCCATCTCTTTGCAGTATTGTTGTCCTGCGTAATTTGCTCCCTTAGTCAGTTCTTACGACAACCATGGGATGATTGAGGGTGGTGACCATCCGTATTCTTAATCCGTCAATACACGGACATGACGGACGGACAAGATTTTTTGTACATATTTTAATATTAAAATATTCTAATCACGTTTAGCTTCCTTTTAAGGCCTTACCTTTTATCTGTTAATGGATCATAAGGTCTTAGAAGATAGAAATAGGAAGTGAAATAGAAAAAGCATCGACAAAAAGCGATTTGTTATTTTCTTTCACGGATGGTGTAGTGGTTTAAGCGGTCGCCACGCCGCTTCCTACGACGCCGAGTGATGTGGGTTCAAACCCCACATGGGACGGCACTTTGTGTGATCCACACAATTGTTGTTTTGAGTCTGGGTGTTCTTTCTAAAGTCCCCAGCGACACAGGATATATTCCTAATGCGGGTGTTGTCGTTTTTTAAATTATAAAAAAAAGGAAGTATCTTGTTAGGTGTACAATGATGGTTTATTTTCGTACAAAAATATGACTACTTAAGTTTATCAGCAATTCAAAATAATATTTTTTCAGGTTTATGGGGTCCGGCTGTATCTTTAGTTGGGTTATCTTATGTACCAGCGGGTAATATCAAGCTTGCTGTAGCACTGTTGACCCTAGTTGTAGGTCTCAATGCTGGACATTATACAGGATTTATGGTACGTATATCTCAAGGTTATATAATACCTGTTACAATTATTTATCCTCTCACTTGAAGATACACAAACAAACTTTCCTAAGTTACTGAGAGTAACTAAACTAAAACTAAAGTATTTTAAACCAGGGATTACCAAACTATTTTGGGCAAGAAACCCCGATTCTAAAATGAACGGATTCATCAGACCCCCATAGCCAAATTACTGCACGCATATCGACTTGTTAAGTGTTTTAAAGTACGACAATGATAATTCCTACTAAAATATTAGTCATTCTTCTTGATTGTTTTAACAAGTTGGTAAAGTTTGTCGATGGAAACTGATTTCGATCCCAAGGGGTCGATATCGACCACTTTGGGTATCCCTGTTTTAAACTGTATGACTATTACTTTTATTGGGAAATAGTTGTTTATTAAGTCCAAGATAACTAAAAGTTAACTTTTGCAGATCGTTCACATCGACATGGCGCCGAACTTTGCTGGTACATTGATGGGTATTACCAACTTTTTCGCAAATATCATCTCCATAGTATCTCCGCTCATCGCTGGACTAATATTGGAAGACGAGGTAAGACCACATACTACAAAACTGTTTTGGTTAGTGAATTTTCTAAAATTGTAGTAAATTGATCATTGTTTAATAAACTTTTAACCAGTTCTAACAAAATATACTTGAAATAAATAATATCCTTAAACCCTTAAGCCAAAAAAGACCCATAATATAACTCATTATCTACTTAGATTGATTTTGCTTTTCGCATTCACCTCCTACTAGCTAATAATAATATGACTATTTTTTTTATTCGTAATTCGCGGTCTTAACCGAATATACGAATATACGCATACAATAAGCATTGTAAACAAACGTTCAGCTAGTAGAAAAGTAGTCATTTTAAGAACCACAGAAAAGGCATTCCACACATTTGGAAAGAGGACACCGGAGTGAAACCACACTCTCAAAAGTGAAACCATGGCCTAACAGCAAACTGGTGTTAAGCAATACAGACACTGGAGATCAACAGCTTCCTCCTGATTCTAGCAGAGGGGGGGGCGGTCTCAAAGTGTGGAAATGCACTTCTTAAGTTGCAAGTGTCGGCGGCGGTAGTCACTTACCATCAGGGCCCCCGTCTACTGGTTTGCCCGTTATGGCTTTATTTTAAAGACCTCTCCCTCAAATAACTATGTAAATTAAAGCATATTTACTTTTAAGAAACATTAAGTTACAAAACCTCTCCGATATTTTATACCATCACATAACGATTTCCAATAAAGCACTGAACCGCTTTCCCTCATCAGGTCAAATTTAAAATGAAAGAGATTGAACCCTCTAATGGCCATAAAAATATGTCTGGTAGGTGGATTGTCTGTTTTTTATGTTCGCCAATTAGGTTAGGTTAAAAATTAGACATACGTAATTGGCCTTTAAATAAAATTACCATTATTTTATATTTATGACCGTAATAAATTCGTAAATTAATTGGATCTGTTTACCCGCGGGTGCGGATTTGATTTTTTAGTATAACATAGTAATTCTGTGGCTACTTTGTTTAAGCTCAGAATCGTGATCCGAAGTAACCTTCATCGATGAACTGTTTGCTGAAAACACCCTCCTTCCGAAGTCAGTTCTACAACTAATAGTTTCCCTAAATACTGTTTGCCGATGGTACTCTTTCTCAATAACCCCTTGAAAGAAACAATTGTTGAGGGTTGCACTATGACATCCTTCATCCCATGTCGTTTTTATAATTTCACCAAATTGAAACTGTTATTAAAACATTGCAGGACTTTAAATTCCACTATAACTATTCGTACGTAAGATATGTCTTGTTTACTTGTCTTATTATGTAAACTTTCAGTGCCTATAATACTGTATTTTCTTGTAAGATAGATTAATTTCATGTATGTAAATTGTGTATTAATTAATTTTAACAACCGACTTCGGACGAGCAGCGAACAGTTCATCGATCAAGGTTAATTCGAAATACGATTCTGAGCTCAATTTGAAATAATGATCAACAAATGTATTTTACTGGGTTCCTTAGCAAAGCATTATATACAAAAATCATTTAAATAAAAACTAAAGTAGATGTACAATATTATTTTCAGACTGATCCTTCTCAATGGAGACAAGTATTTTACCTGTCATCCGCGGTATACATCGGTGCTAATTTGTTCTTCGTGATATTCGGCTCCTGTGAACTACAGCCATGGAATACTCCCAAAGAAAACCCCGAAAAAGGTATTTTTCCTTATATATTCATTCTTAGACTTGACTGTTTACTAGTTTATGCATAACTCTAGCAGTAACTCAAACATACCGGCTTGCAACTGCAGACTCAGTCCTGACTTTTCCTATGCTTCCATCCAAGACTTCATCATCATCATCATCAACAGCCTTTACTAGTCCACTGCTGGACATAGGCCTCTCCTTAGAAAGCAGGTTTTGGCCTACTATGCCACGCTGGCCAGACGGGTTGGTATAGAGTTTGTTTCAAGTTTTCCTTCTCTTTGCAGTGCTGTTGTCCTGCGTAGTTTACTCCCTTAGTCGGCTCTTAAGACACGCACTGGATGAAGAGGGGTGGAGACTCTCTGTATTCTTAATCCGTCACCACACAGATGGACTTACGGTATCTCTTACCCTAGCTGATGGAACTACCCTATCTGTTTTACTCACGCCAATTTACTTAAACCTTCTTCCTTTGTCATGTTCAAAAGCGATTAGGTAGCGAAAGGTTACGCATAAAAGAAACTATTTGCAATGTTAGTCGTTACACCAGATCCAAACTAAATTGGAACGGGACGAAAAAAATGGTGAAACTAAGAAATATATAACGGTTTCATTACTCTGAAAGTTAACCAACGTGAATACCAGATATGGTTTGTTACGTTTGCTTGTCAGTTTGATGATATTATAATCTAATTTCCAAAATTTCTAACTGCAGATTAATTTATTACTAGTACAACACTGTGACAGTACTCACGTAAGTACGTACTTAATAAAGTTAGTTTGATAAGAAAACTTGAATAGAATACTACGACTCGGCTTCATTTTAATTAAAAATCAAATTGAAGTTAAAAAATACAAGGATAAAAATGTCCAATGAAGACTCTTTTATGTGTTAAATTTATTACTCTTCGGACGCTTGTTCAAATTGCTTCAGGTATTTTATGAGCTACAATCATTGAGCTACAAGGTTTTTTCAATATGTTATTTTAAGCGAATTCCATTTTACACGTAATAACGTATCTTGTATGTCGTCAGATCGTCGTGTTTCCTCTCTAATATATTTTAAACATTGGTGCAGATCTTATTGTCGGTTTAATTATTGATCGAGTTGACTTCTAAATTCTAAGTAGTACCATGCGTAAGAGATTTCTTTGGTCGATTTAAGTTTATGCGTCAAACAGAAAAATCTAGATCGTCTTTTATTATTTCCTACCGAGATAGAAGTATAACCGTTTCTTTGCTATATTTTGTAGGTTTTTTTTTTCATACACATTTCAAACGCAGCCGTCTTATCCTAAACTAGGCAGAGCCTGTGCCCAAACTGCTGATAAACATACTTATATTTTTAAATACATACATATTTTAGATAAAGTTCACCCAGACTCACAGAACAACTGAATTGAATATTTTTGATACTCATGATAGTTATAGTAGTATTGTAGTATTTTTTATTTTTATTTATTATGGATCACCAACAAACAATACACATTTCTACAGTAATTATAAAATATACAAAAATCATGCCTTATAGGCTATCAAAATTAACATAAATAAAACTTGTACCATTCTAAAATAAAAAAATAAAGGCATAATAATAGAAAAATATGAAAGAACATGAAAACTATTAGGTAAAAAAAGAAGCCAAGAAGCCAAGATAGTGGTAGTATGATATTACAATTGCTCACTTTGACACTGCTCTCAATAGGAATTAAGATGATAAAAATCCTAACCATAGAAATAATGAACGAAGCAGACAAAGCAAACATCAAACGAATGAAGTGGATGAATTTATTTTGCTTTTAACGATTGCTTATAGAATGACGAATCACACTGCACGGATGGCGTAGTGGTTCAAACCCCACATGGGACGACACTTTGTGTGATCCACAAAATTGTTGTTCTGAGTCTTGGTGTTCTTTGTTCCTTTGTTTGTTTCATGTATGTTTGTAAAGTCCCCCGCGACACTGGATATTTTACTAGTGCGGGAGTTGAACTTCGCAGTTTCGAAGTAATACTATCATTTTTTCATCTTTACTTCCTTAATTAAGTCTTTCGTGGCAGGAATACGTAGTAAAATAGTAATTAAGAGACTAAACCTTCACGCACATTTCTTTTACCTCAACGAAATGCTACAGACGACGAGGTACCTCACCTCGTAAAGAAATGTGCATGAATGTTTGGTCTCTTTATTACTGTTTTACTTTTTTATTTCTTTCTCTACTGTTTTACTACGTATTTCTGCCACGAAAGGCTTAATTAAATCACAGATAATATTTTCCTTGACTGTAAATGTTATTTTGTTGTGTTTTTTTTTATCTTAGAGAGGGCAGACGAGCAAACGGGTCACCTAATGGAAATTGACCATCGCCGCCCATGAACGTCTGCAACTCAGGAGTCACAAACGTGTTGCCGGCCTTTTAGGAAGGAGTACGCTCTTTTCTTGAAGGTTTGAAGGTCGGAAATAACGCAGACGATGACCGGTTCCACAGATTGGTTGTGCTGGGCAATAAGTGTCTCAAAAAGCGCACACTAGTGGAGCGTCAACTTTCCAGTATAAAATTTTGAAATTTAAATAAGGGAAAAATTTCAGAGTATGAAATTTTTGCCATGTGGAACGATGGCAGAAATTTGCTGCTGGTATTAGTCCGAACAATTTCTCGGAGCACTCTCCATGATATAAATAACAATAGATAATTCTAACACATTTTTTAATTTTGTTTCAGAAACACAAAAGAGGATCGAAAAAGTAGTTTAAGGAGTAAATTAAGTTATATCAATATTTGTAAATTGTGTAAATAGTTATATTATACGTTTATGCTAAGTAAACAGTGTCTTTTTTTTTTTTTTTTTTTGTTTTTTACGTGTGGAAATCCCCTCGGACCGTCACCCCGCCGGGGTTCTCGTTTGGGGGGGCGGTGTGTCGGACTCGAACCGACTAAAACCATACGGTGTGCCCTCTTTGCGCTTCCAGTTTAGGAGGGGTCCAGGTAGTTATCGCCTTCTGGAGGGCGAAATCCGCTCTCCGCCTGGAAGTCAGCCACTCGCCGATAAACTTCGGCGAGCACTTCCGCCTCCAAATCCCACGGGGGTGTTCCGGCCAAGGCGCAAGCCGCCTCGGTGGACACCGTGCGGTATCCGCGTATGGCTCTGACCGCCAATATCCTCTGGGGGCGCCAGAGGCGCGCCCTATTCGGGGCGGTCAGAGCCGCCACCCACACCGGTGCACCATAAAGCGCCATGGACCGGACAATCCCCGCGTACAGCCGCCTCGTGGGAACACTGGCCCCGCCCAAATTGGGCAAAAGTCACCCTAGGGCGGAGGCAGTGTCCACCAGATTCGGACCAAGCTGTCGGAAGTGCTCGTCGAAGAGCCACCTACCGTCTAGGACCAGACCCAGGTACCTCATCTGGGCCCGGACCGGTACGAGGACCGAGCCGACCTCGATAGAGGCGCCGGCGGGTGGACCACGACCGGGCCCATGAAATAATAGGGCCACCGTCTTATCCAGGGCCACCCGTAATCCCAACGCCTCAATGCGCCCGACCACCTGGGAAACTCCCGTGGCGGCCAGGTGCGCCGCCTCCTGGAAGTTAGCCCCCCGGGCCGTGAGTAAGGTGTCATCCGCGTAGCAGATTACACCCAGCCCGGGGGGGAGACGCCCTCGTAGGGCCCAGTCGTACCCGATGTTCCACAGGAGAGGTCCTAGGACAGACCCCTGCGGAACACCGCACGACATGGCCCTGCGTCTCAAGACGCCATCTCGGTCCTCGTACATGACGGTTCGCTCCTCAAGATAGTCTGCCACCAGCCGCCTCAGGTACTCCGGCACTCCGTGGTAGCGGAGCGCTTCCCTGATGCAGCTGAATGGCAGACTATTGAAGGCGTTGGCGATGTCCAAGGACACCGCCAACACCACTCCGCCGCAGCTCACGGCCTCCTCGGTCACGGACCTACACAGGCCGCACGGAGGTCCGCCAACTCCTGGGACCACCAGTAGACCTCCTTCCTTGGAGGCCGACAGCCTGCGTAATCGCATCGCAGAAGCGACCAGCCCCCATGTCGACCTCCTCGGTCGGGGAGACAGCCAAGAGTGAATAATGGCCGCCTCCTCTAGTAAGTCCCTGTCGAGCTTGGCGACAGCGCACCGCGTGACCCCTACTGGAGTCCTGGGACCGGGAGAGCTCGAATCGGATGTACAAATGATCCGAGAGCGTCTCGACCTCTTCCAGGACACACCAGTTCCTTACTCGTGCGGCGACTGCAGGGGTAGCGAACGAGAGGTCCACTATCGACCACCCCTGCTGTCGCACGCACGTGTTGGTGGAGCCTCTGTTCAGCAAACAGAGGCCCACCGACGCCGCCCACTCCTCGACGGCTTCGCCCCTGGCGTCCGTCGCAGGGGAACCCCACGCAATGGACTTTGCGTTGAAGTCCCCCAGCACGAGGACGTGCCCAGACACTAGTCGCCGCATCGAGGCCTCCAAGTTGTTAAGGAAGACCTCGGGATCGTTCAAACTCCGGTTGGGGGAGAAATATACACCATAAATGGTGATTCCCCCCAATCGGCGGCAACATATCCAGTACCCTTGTCTCTTAGCGACAAGGGCGGGGAATGAGCCGCCGTGGAGCCGACGACTGCCACGGCGCCGTCCCGGTCACCCATCCAGTTTGGACGGGGAGGAACAAAGTAGGGCTCCGCGACTACGGCAACACCTATCGACCACTGTGCCATAGTTTGCAGAAAGAGATCCTGCGCCGCAGCACAGTGGTTGAGATTCGTCTGGACCAGGAGGTTGGAGACTTGATCCATTACTGGATCGTCTCTACAACCTCCTAAATGGGCGTCGACTTCGACGCAATATTGACGTCGGGGGTAGCCTGGGTCGGCAGGCTAGCCCTCGGCGTTTGCCAAGAAGCGCGGGGAGGCTTGCAGCCCCCCTGCCCCATCATGTGATTGGCGGGCTTTTTGCCTGCCTCACACACCGGGCAGTGGGGGGCGGCAGAGCACTCTGCCGCCTAGTGCCCGGGAAGTAAACAGTGTCTTACTTTAACCCATAAGCTTGTTCCTCCATTTTACACGTCTCAACTGTTAGGTAACCGATACGTCTATAAACAATTAGTTTGTTCTGGATCTTTAATAATAGTAACTTCTGATCCCAAACTAGGCAAAGCCTGTATTATGGTAACCAGACTGCTGATAAACATACTTATATTTTTTAAATACATACATATTATAGATAAATTACACCCAGACACAGAACAAATGACTCATCACACAATATTTGTCCTGGCTGGGAATGGAACCCACTACCTTCGGCTTAGCAGACAGGCCCTCTAACCTCTACACCAACAGGCCCGTCAAGTGGAGGACTACTTTTCGAGAGAAAGTTGTGCCAGTGAGAGGATCTACACTTCAATGCAGCAGATCGTTCAACTCCTTGATATGGGGTGCTGTAGAATCCGAAACCAGTCGGTTATCTACAAAATGTATAAATAAATACTATCGTAAAAATAAATATAGTTTTAATATATTTTTTTATAATATGTTATCTCACAGATAAAAAAAAATAAAACTCCGTTTGCGAAAGGATCAGAGGGACGGAGATACTTTGCTTCCGTCAAATTTTCTTTGAAATCAAAGTGAAAAATGTCGTACACTTGGCTAAGTATGATTAAAATAACAGGCTAAGTATGATTATGATTATTGATGAGGAAAAAAAAACTACAACCCTAATTACCCTCCAAAATGAATTACGTTAACAATTAAAATTCAAATCAACACAAATCATGTTATTTGTTCCTTGGTATTGGATATTTTACAAATAAATATTTCAATCGAAGCAAATATTTTTCTCAACATGAGATATTTATTGAACAATACAAACATAAATTAAAGTTCTTCAAACAACTTTCTCGGCTTTTTTCTCAGTACCTGAAAAAAAGAAAAGAAAAATACTGCTATTTAATGAGGCTGATCATGTAAACAAATTAAGAAGATTATTATGGAAAAGTCGAATTATATAAATATAATTTAATAAGCATTTTGATGTTTCTGGGGAAAACATGATTTTTAAAATTTATATGTATCTTAAGTTTTATCTTAATAATATTTCTTTAACTTTTAATTATAAGTATGCATGCACGCAGCAAGCGCCGTATTATTAAAGAGTTCTTTTATATTTATAAGCCATTTTTTTTACTTTTTGTAAGCAAAAAATGATTCAATGTTTATCTATGAATTACTATGTGAAAACTCTAGAGGGAGTAGGTCTTGGAATACACAACACGTGGACACAGAGGGGGGAGGGGTTAAAATTCCAAAAAGTGGATCACGTAGTATAGGTACGTTCCCTAATAAGAATGTAGCACTCACATCACATCATCATCAACAACCTATGATAGTCCACAGCTGGACATAGGCCTCTCCTCTGAAAGGAGGTTTTGGCCTACTATACCACGCTGGCCAGACGGGTTGGTATAGGGTTTGTTTCAAGTTTACCTTCGAGTCGACTTTTACGATACCCACGGGATGAATAGGGGTGGTGACATAACGTATTCTTAATCCGTCACCACACGGAGTACTCAGTGATATTTTTTTAAAGGAACTTCGAGCATTACAGGACACGTGCTCAATTCATTTATTCAATGATAGTTCTTACATCGTTAGGACGTCCCTTTATTGAATCTTACGACGATAGATAAATAAAAAAATACATATGATGATTAAATAATTAGTTTTGGTTTTACTCACTTTCTTCAGATTCTTTGAGCTCGTTCCATGCCTGCCTCTCACAACTGCCGAATATTATGAAAAACAGATTTGTAGCGAAGTATACAGCTGATGATACATAGAACACCAGACGCCATTGAGAGGGATCCGTCTGGAAATAATACATTTATTTACTTATTCATGCTTCTTTTTGATTTAAACATTCATGAATTTTTATGATTCAAGCAAATAAGCGGCGGTATCCTAGTGGTTAAGGCATTCGACTTGCGATCAAGAGGTCGTGGGTTCGAATTCTGACCAGTACACTACTGACGTAAACCCACTCCTAACACAAGCAATTTAGCTTAGCGGTATTGGTTAACGGGAATACCAGTAATTATAGTTACTAGTAGACCTTTTTAAAAGAAAAAAAAAAGAAAATTTCAAAAATTACCTCATCTTGTAGTATGAGGCCAGCAACAAGTGGCGATATGATAGATATAATATTGGCGAAGGTATTGGTGATGCCCATCATTGTCCCAGCAAAATTTGGTGCCATATCAATGTGTACGAGCTGTTAGAAACCAAAATTTAGGTTTAACGAATTTATTCTCAAAAAGACAAAAAAACACTTACCTACATGAGAATACAAAATAGCATATTATTATTCTAATGGTTACCGAAACAGTGTTAGGTATTTATAGCTTAAAATTTATGTGATTTCACAGCCAGCCAATATAATTTTCAATTTTTTTCAAAATTAGTAAAGTATTGTAATCTTATATATAAAATTCTCGTGTCACAATGTTCGTTCCCGTACTCCTCCGAAACGGCTTGACCGATTCTCATGAAATTTTGTGTGCACATCGGGTAGGTCTGAGAATCGGCCAACATCTATTTTTCATACCCTTAAATGGTAAGGGTGACCCATCCCTAATTTTTTTTTGTTTTGCAATACAACGTTTGCCGGGTCAGCTAGTTTACTCTAAAACTGCCGCTGCTCACCGAAGTAAGTGGTGAAGTGATATGTTGGTATTTAACCGACTAATTCGGCTTTCTATCACAAGGGACTTGAACATGATCTTTCAACTAGATTACCTATTAATAAGTTGCTACACCAAGTTGTTTATTCTTCGTTTGATATGTCAAATGCAGTCCGAAGACGTTTTGTTCACTCTTTATCGTATATCTCTGGCAAATGGAAATAGTGGAATCTAACACAATTACTTTTCACCTTGCAAAGTACAGTAATGTTACGTAACTATTATCCGTGTGGTGACGGATTAAGAATACGGAGTGTCACCACCCCCATTCATCCCGTAGGTGTCGTAAGAGCCGACTAAGGAAGCAAACTACGCAGAATAACAATACTGCAAAGAGAAGGAAAACTTGAAACAAACCCTATACCAACCCGTCTGGCCAGCGTGGTATAGTAGGCTAAAACCTCCTTTCTAAGGAGAGGCCTATGTTCAGCAGTGGATTACTTGAGGCTGTGAGCCTCCAAAATGGTGATACTCAGACTTTCATCAATGCCTGCTAACATAAATCTAAAAAAAATCTTACCAAATATCCGGTATATTGACCAGCATTTAGACCCACGACGGCTGTCAGCAGTACCACGGCTAGGGTAACGTTACCTCCTGGCACATATGATAACCCTATCAATGCAAACGCTGGACCCCAATAACCTGGAAATCATAAGGGAAACATTTCCATAATCAGTGTTAGTAAAAAAAAAACACAAATGGTAATGACAAATATTTTACTAATTCCCAGAAGCACAAATAAAATATAGTTTTCTATCCATAAGAAGAATAAAAAAATAAAAGAACGAGAAAGAATGTTAAATTTTATAACACAGTTATTTTATTTTTAAGTTATTTTATAACAGTAGAAATAATAATTTTAACTTAGATCATGATATCTCTGGCGAAGCGAGTTTTAAAAGGCAAAGTGGCTTACTAACAGTCGGGTAACGTGTAATGTAAGTTTTTGATGTAACATTTTCAAATATTCCATTTTTGAAATAACATCATAAAAAAGACCAAGATTTAGTTTTTTTATTTGAACGGTACATTTTGTGCGTGGACTCCAAAAGAAAATACAACGTCTAAAATTTGAAAAATACTTAGTATCAATTGGTGTACTACATACCTATGGTATTAGATATTTTCCTCGCACCGCTGGTACTGACCCATTTCTTCTTGAGAGCGTAATCTGACATGAAGCCAAACGGGAATCCTAGCACATACATTGCCAAGTATGGAAGAGCTGACATAGCACCATTCTGTTTATATGAAAAAAAAACAGAAGACATTTTAATTTTAAAACCGAGTACACATCACATATTGTTGGTAAGTATAATATACAACGAGTCAATAAGAAGCAAAAGATTTTGAGCTCACGATAGGTTCATTAAAAATAAAAACGAACAAATAAGAAAATCTTTAAAAACAAGAGCTTTCGACAGCAATCGAATTAGTTTGATCCTTAAAGCTACTAAGCATTTGAATTCAATAGTTATAAACAAAAACAAGAAACACAAATATTAGGAACCATCAGATCGATTAATTGTGCAGTGTCAAAAGAAATAATCTTACCTATTTACGTGTGAGTTTGCATTCATATGGATGCAAACTCACACACAGGCCCTTAACTCCATTAAAAGCTCAATGCAAACTCACACACATTCTCTTAAATCCATTAAAGTTCTAGAAAGTTTGTAATTACTAAGAACAGTTATAATTCGTATATCGATTAATCTATATAATATATAAAAATGTTATGTTGGTTTGTAAACTCAAAAGTGCTGCACTGATAGAGCTCAAATTTTAACAAAATATACAACAAGCTCCGGTGGTTTTCATCTTTTTTTTTTAAACCACAATAAGTCAATTATTTTATTTAAATTAATACGGCACATGCTATGAAACAGACCATTCTTAACTCAATGGCATAAAATGTTTTTTTTTATTCATTTTATGGAATCAGCTTAATAATATTCCTAAGCAATGTTAACCTACCGCTTTAATATCGACTTCAAGGATTTGCTTCATATATGAAGGCATTTCAGTCATCAGTGTCCAAAAGCCCCAGTTTTGTCCACAGTGAGCAACCATCAACGCGTAAAACGGCATAGAGGTCCATATCGATTTCCAGGGAGTTTTCAGTTTCTAAAAGTCATAAAAATATAAATTATTTATTTAAACTTAATGCAAATATTGTACAAATTTGCACTTGATGCCATGAAGCATCCAAGTCGACTTTAAGGTGAAGTACAAATATGATGCGGTAGGTGCAAAGATGAAATATTAAATTAATTATAGTTCATAGTTTGGTAAATATAAGATAAACCTACATTAGACATAACTTAAATATATAACTTCATTACTATTTCCATTATTATACTTACATAGAAGTTCAGAAGTATATAGGTACAATACATGCAAACTATATAAATATACACATATATAAATTTATTAAAAAAATTAAAGACCACTCGTGCACTAGGAATGTAACCCTGTGTCGCGGGGGACTTGACAAACATACATGAAACGGATACAAAGACCACCCAGACTCAGAACAACAATTTGTGGATCACACAAAGTGTTGTCCCATGTGAGGATCCAACTCACAACACCGTGCCATTACGCCATCCGTGCATATTACATTAAAAATCTACATTGGGTCACACTTATCTCTACTTATTTTTGTTTCAAGGACAGGCACTTATATTCGCTTTGTTACAATGAAAAGTTATAAACAACTACAAAGAAACTGATACTATACTTTTCTGATCTCTAACTAGTAAGGCACACTACAGAAAAATCATAAGGCAATGGACCTGA